AACCCAGCGCAGAGTTAAGAGCCTGGACCCTTTGTCCGTAAATTCAGGGAGTCTGGCCCAAATGTGTGAGGGTTTGTAGCCTTGTTCTCGGCTTGTTTGAAGCCTGAGGATCCCCTTCCAGGAGCGCAGGAATGGCCATGCTAGGCCAGGCCTGTGGACATCTGCGACTCTGCTGCGTTTCTCACAGTTGCCTGGTCCAAGTGGTTGTGGATAGGTACCAAGGGACCATGAAGGGAGTGATTTTGGAATTGTTGGCCAGGGGAAGGTTTTTTACTAATCCCCACCAGTTAGGAGCTGGCTTGTGCCATTGTGCGTGAGGGTTTCTACCCTTTCCAAATTTCTGGATTTCGCAATTATTTAATCCTCACTGATGTAAGTCTGCATACCTTAATCCTCTTAAGGAGTTGTTGCTGACTTTGGGCTCGCTCCTGTTCCCTTTTGAAGGAACTTTGCTATTAGACACCTCTAAGTGGAGCTCTGATGTGTATTGAAACTGATTTTCCTGGCATCTCTCTGCTGAACTGTAAAATGCAGGTGTAAATCTCGTAACAACATTTGCAGGTGGAGCAGGGGGAGGTCTGCAGGCAAGAAACATTTTCTCTCTCCCCGCTGCCAGCCCAGCTTCTAGAAGGAAGCCCCAGAACATGGTAGGTCAAAGGAACAACCTTGAACCTGTGCGGGGAGTATCCTGCTAGCCCAGGAAGCCAGAAACGTGTCCATCCCTCCAAGATGCCCTGTGGCTGCTGAAAAGGTGCAGCCCCTCTCCGGAGCCGTCTTTGTGCTGCCCTGGCTGGTAGCCCCAGAAGCACGTGAGGAAGCATTGCCGGGGTTTTCCTCGCCCTGCTTGGTCGTAAGGAAGCAGGAGCTCCCCGGGGTCCTCCCTGAGGAGGCTGCCTGGGCAGGTCTGTGCCCTGGACGTGGTTCTGGAAGGGAGGCCAGTCTTTGTCGCCCCGTGGCAAACGTGTGGCACCCGTCCCAGACGTGTCCCGTCCGTTCTGTTTCTTTGAAGCAGGTGGTTTGGTCAAGGTGGTTGCTTGAGGGTTTCGCCAGAGTGCTGGAGTTGCCCATAGCTCTCCGCAGTAAGGCAGGCATCCCAGGAGAGCTGGTGCCTCCCCTGGCAGTCATGCCTGGGCAGTGCAGCTCACTGTGCTTATCACCAGCAGGACTCTTGCAGACTCCAGTATCTGCCCGTGCGTTTTCAGGAAACAGTTGAAGACCATGAAACTGAGCATCACAGTGTCTCTCAGACTGCCTGGCAAGCTGCTGTCCATGGCTGGAGAGATAATGCTGCTATTTTATTGTCACATCAACCTGCCAAACCTTCTTTCTGTCCGTCTTCACCTTCCAGAAAAAAAGAAAAACAGGTGAGATTGGCATCTGAGGATGTCCTTCTGTGCAGATGTAGGATCTCTGTAGGATCTTGCCAGGTTTGTGGTCGCACAGCCCTCTCCTGTTGCTTTAATTTTTTTTTAATTATTGGATCTGACAGATCTCCTATATAAAAAATAAACCAAAAACTGTATTACTTAAACCCCACTAAAGAAGATAGATACGCTGTCTAGAGGGTTGTCTTGTCTTGATTTCTGCTGCTTTTCTTGCTCGTGGTCTGATTGTTTTGAGGTCACTCACATGAGAGATCCTGCAGATGCAGCATTTGCTGAGCACTGATCTAGAGGAGTGAGGTTGCACTTGTAAGTCAAATGGCAAAAAGCTTCCAACTTTTGTGTAGTTATTTCTTGGGGTACCCGGAAAAAGTTATGTTTGCCATATAGGCCTGTCAGTCCTTAGCATCTGGGAAGCAATTGTCTGGAAACAAGTCTGTTGCTTGTCCTTTTTTTCCTGTTAACAGGTGATGCTGTAGTTTGGTGTGTGCATTTAAACCTTCTTGTTTCCAACACATGCCATCTTTTGCTGAGTGTTACCTTAAAGAGGAGAGGAAGGGATTAGTACCTATACCATGTGGAACAGGTTCTTATTTCTCCTCATAACGTCATGCTTCACCATAATCATCTCTGGAGTTTGGTCCTTCTTAGGGAAAACGGTACCCTGACCAGATGAGCAAACCCTCTTCTTCAGGAGTATGTGGTTAATTTAACATTTTCTGTTATATTTTCATTTTCCCCATGCTGCATAAGGAAGGTAGTGATCATGCCCCGCAGGGCTTCTTCAAGTTCCAGACACTTAAAATGAGCCAAAACTCTTTATGAAGTTGCAGAGGATGCCACTAATCATGTTTGTGAATCTGCAAGATGATGTGCTAGTGCTGTGGTTTTCCTAGCATTTAGTTTTGGTCAAATTTTGGCACTCATTGAGCACTTCTCTTCCAAATTAAGACCATATTAGCTTGCTTTCTCCAAATGGAGGTACTGAAAGTGCTCAGTATTTGGTACTCCTTTGAAGAATTAGCCTTCATCTTGGACTACAATTTACCCACCCATCTCATTACACTTGAAAAACAAAGCTGCTTTCTTTTTTGGGGGATGCCCAGTAATGTGGGGCCTATTAGTGGTGGCATGTTATGAATTTTCTCTGCCAAGATTGATTCTATTTTTCCGCAGCAGGTACACAGATACTGGCAATAATTAGATTCTTTTTATTATTGGAGAGCTTCTGGGTAGATCTAGAGATTTAATGCTGTTACATGACCCCAGAAGTAGAGTGCATAAGATTATATAATGAATATGAATGATATGTTAGTATCTTCTCAGTGACCCACCAGTGTTTTTATTGCTTGAATGTTCTTAGCATTTCGCTAATCTTCCTTCTCTTCCTTAAGCGGCGCCTGGCTGAGCAGAGAATCCTTTTCATCTGGCTACATGGACCTAGTTTCTGTCTCACTTATTCCGCCCAGACTTCTTAGAAATTTCCTAGGTCTAGGAAAATCTAGGTGCTCTGATTAAGTTACAGATAGTAAAGTTATGGTGACCACCTGTTTAACACTCACTCTGTTTGGCATTTTCTGTGATAGAGCACCATAGCTTCTACTTCCACTCTGCCTAACAGAATAAAAGGGTGGAAATTGATTCTTCATTTAGTGTTGAAACTGTAAACTGATGGATTGCAGTGATGAACCCAAGTGAGCTTTTAGCCTGTGCTGATGCATGATAGTTTAAAATATTTATTTCTTTAATAAATGAAATTATCAAGAAGCAAAATAAAAGCTTGCTTAATGTGCAGCTCTGGTGTGTGTGAAGGCACGAGTCAAAGAGCTAAAAATAAACAAGACTTTAACTTTGTTAATTGGCTGGTTACATGAACACAAACAACTGAGATGCAACTGCATCTTACTGAAAAGCAACTGCTCTGTGGGCTCACAGTAGTTTTTAGTTACGCTCCTAGCTTCCTCCTACTGCAAGGTAAAACACGTTAGATTAAGATCCTTTATGGATGTGCAAATTTGATGTGTTTTACTTTTTGGCTATAATAGCCTCGTGGCCAGCTGGCAAGCAAAACACTGCCCGTTGCAGCAGTGTGATTACTTATGGTCTCAGTCCGAACGCCGAGATCTGTGTCGGCTGTTGGAAGAGGGGAAAATCACCACGCAGACAAGCAAAGATGTTCTCAGATTTGTGGCACCCGGACTCAGGTTTTCCTCTGGCTGTGCTCTGTTACCTGAGCCTAAGTCATTCCCGGCCCCCAGAGAATTCATAGTCATCTCCAGGTTTTGTCATCGCCCCTTCTTGCCCCTCTGACAGCATTGCCAGCCGTGCAGCCTGGGCCACACGCCCGAGCATCACTTGGGGCCTTTCCTCAGTTTCCTAAGACCTCCATAGGGCAGCCTAGATCCTGTTCCCTGTAAAACCTGAGCTGTGCCAGCGGCATTTCCCTGCTGCTTCCCAAGGGATCTGCTGGAAGGTAGTTCTCCTGACACAGCAGATCTAGTAAGAATAAAAAGCAACATGACTAACATCACAAAACTCGTTACGTCTGCTCCAAAGATCAATTAAGAGATGGCACTGTTAGAGCTGCAGGGGGAATAAAACTCTATTTTTGGAGGTATTTTGGGCTTGTAGTCTCTTTTCCAAAACGGACAGCATTAGTACCATCGTCTGTCAGTCTGCCCACGTGATAAGTTCCAGTCATATTGGACGGAAAGTCAGAGATCTCCAAACACGGTGTGTTTCTATGAAGGTGGTGACTGTTGGCATCCAGGCAGAGAAGGGAGACCCAGGGAGTGTTCCCGAGGATGGGAAACCTGTGTTTTATCTCCTATCTGGAAATAGATGTGTCGGTGGCATGGAGCCAGGGAGAGCATGGGCTGCTGGAACAGCAGGGACATGGGAAGGAGCTGGTACATCTGGAAGAATGCAGGATTCAGTGGAGAATGAAGAGAGGGGGAACATGGCTGTGGGGAAGGGCATTTGCTCTTGCTGGAATGACAGGAGGGGGGTCTAGGGTACAAACCTGTGTGAGACCAGCTTCATGCCTGCTCCTTCGTGTACTGGAGTGTTGGTTATGTTTGGATTTGTTACAGTTTGGCTCTACATGATCTGTGTAACTGTCCGTGATCGACACAACTGTACATTGGTGGCTATACACAGTGATTAGTAAGCAGCAGCAGCGAGAACCAAGCATAGCAGGAGCAAGCAGACACATCCAGGCCTTACCTTAGCTCCATATTACAACTTTGCCCCCTTAACAGCTCAACTCTTGGCACTGGGTTTAGTTCTGCCAGTTTCCCTCCGTCCTGACCAGCACTTTCACACCGTAGTCCTGACCTTCCCAGAGAGGTTTTGGAGACGCCTGCTGGCTCGGTGCCTTCAGCACTGCGTGTTTTATATCAGCTGTAGAGTAGAACTGCCCGTCTAAGAAATAAAACCCTGGGAGGTGCTTCGAGCCGTGCAGTGCGGCGCGCTGGGGTCGATACGGAGTGGAGCTCGGCCTGGGAGCGCGCCGGGAGAGGGACGCGCGTGGGGCTGCCCGCCGAGCCGCGGCGCCGGCGGCGCGCGCCGTTCACCTCAAGCCTTCTAAAGCATCCTTTTTTCTTCTTCCTACAGACAATTTTAGGTACACGTGTGACATTTGTGGGAAAAAATATAAATATTATAGCTGCTTCCAAGAACACAGAGACCTCCACGCCGTCGATGGTGAGTACCCTTTCAGCCCTGGGTCACGTTAGGGTGAGGAGCGGTTGCTCGGGGAAGGCCGAACGGGGCTCTGTGGGAGCGCGTGCCCGGATGTGTCGCCTGCCATGGGCAGAGCTGCAGGAGGAAGGCAGCTGGGCCTGCTTCCCTTCGCACGCATCAAAATACCACCCTCTGCTGGGACCTGGGGTCCTTGCAAGCCTCCTGTCTGGATTAAGGTTCGTGGCGAAAATGGATATGCTAAAGCTCAACGCCTCACGACAATAAACTGTCCGCCCAGCTGGTGACTGGACAAGATTTGGTGGTGCTTTCATTTCTGACTTCACAGGATTGTTTCTAACGTTCTTCTGTGAGAAACCACATTTCAGAGCTGAGATGTGGTCTTTCTTTCTTTCTTGGTAACCACTCTTGTAGAGAACCGATAGAATTGTCAGTGGACCTTTCAGGCCAGTTTTTCCTATGTGAGACAGATGCGCTTTAGGCTGGTGACACTTGGACAGGAGCAGACATCCCGCTCCAGAAGCAGCGATGCTTTTTTTTTCCCCAAAGCAGGGGAAATAGTAGAACTAGAAAGACATACTGTCTTTGGCTTGCTTCCATCCACTTGCTGGGCATCTAGAGCGCCCTGCCTCGGAGCCCACGGATGCTGTGAAACCCGACAGCGCCCACCACCACATCGTCAGATTTGCTGCCCACGTGGCTGCAGAGGGAAGCCTGGTAGACCTTCAGCTGTAGCTGCTTGGAAAGCAGAAAGTTTGGGGTGGCTGGAGTCTCTAAGCAAAGCACACGTTTTGCACGCTAAGCATTGCCCAGAAAAGTTTGCTGGTTTTAACTGGAATGTGCGACTAACTAAACCTGTTCTAAGTACAGCTGGCGTTCTCTTACAGTCACCACTGCGGACTCCATCCCTACTGCCAAAATTAAGTTACTGGAACTAAAAACTACTGCGAGAAGGGATGTGTCTGCTCCTGTCTGAAACGTGTCTTCATAGCCACCGTTCAGGGAGCTCTGCCTAGGGTTGTGAGAGGGCCACAGCTTCGGGAGCAGCCCCCCTCATGCTTTGCAAAGCCACTATTTGTGTGAATTCCTCCGAGGGGCTGTTTGCATCTCGGCAACACAAGCGTAAGGCAGGTGTGCAGCTGCACTTCACATGGGCTGTGTCGGTGCTAAGGCAAAGGCCTTGAGGGTCTGTGTACATTAGGGCTGGGCACGCTCGTGTAGGTCCTGTATGGATGCTGCTGGGAAGCGGAGGGACTGGGGGCTCAAGTATGCTAAAGCAGTGTGTGAAATACAGGAGGAAAACAAGGCCATTCAAGAGGATTTAATTTTTGTTTTGTTTCTTCCCTTCCTTCTTCTATTCTGTGTTAGTTTTTAGTGTGGAAGGGGCCCCAGAAAACCGGGCAGGTAAGCTGAGATCCTTTGTGTGCTTTATTTCACCAACCTTTTCAAGCATTCAGTACTTCAGGCACAGCAGGCCTGATTCCATCCTTGCAGGAGTTGAGGAAGTTTTCTCACTGATTCCAGAGGGAGAGGAGCATCCTCCCTCCCTCCCGCCGAGCGGACAGCCAGTAGGTTGATGCCCAGCCCTAGTAGATACCAGGGTTTTGTTGTCCATACCATTGATCAGGCTTCTGCAAATCAGAGAAGCAGGCGTTTCATGTCTCTGGTGATTTAGTGCATTGTCCAAGGCATAAATTCAATTATTTTACAAAATGGGTGGGTTCTGATTTGCTGCTAGCGTCGCTGTTAGGTGGTAAAATGTCACCGATCAGTATTTGTTAGCTGACTTGCCAACTGCATTACCATGCCCGCTTTCAGACAGAGTAGCGTCTTTAGGTGGGAAATGCACTGGAAGAAAATCAGAAAATAGAGATCAGGCTTTGAAATGTGTTTCTTCAGTCTTCCTCAGTTTTTACTTTTCTTTTTGAACTTTAATTGCCTGCAAGGTACGTTATTGGGCTTGGAAGGGGCGGTGGGCTACCTTCCTGGAGCATCTGAGGAGGAGGAGGAGGGACAAGTCAGACAGAGCAGGCACTGGGTTTGTAATTCATGCCTTGAAATCTTGTTACAGATTGAAATGTCATTAAACATGCGGGAGCATTCAGTGCCCAGGCTGCTGTAGAAGGAGAACCCGGGGGTGTTGTCAGCTCTTTGCCGGTTCTGTTCTCTTGCAGACCCCTATGACCAGGCCGTCATAGCAGCCGATGAAGTGAAGGAGGAGGAGCCGGAACCGTTTCAAAAGATTGGTCCAAGTATGAGTTGTTACACAGCTTCAAAGTTTAGATAAGTAGCACACGGGGTTTCCAGTCTGGCGCTTGCTGGAGTGTCTCTGTGAAAACCAGAGCGCTGCATTACGCAGAGCTGCTGCAACCTCAGGGGTGCTGGAGGATGTGTCTACATCCAAATGAACATTCACCATCAGCAGCCTACCCCTAAGAAATGCAACTTGTGGTGTTTTCTGCACAAGAGCTCTACCAAGAGAAGAGGGAAGAGGTTCAGGAGAAAAGCAAATTGGCAGCAATTAGAGGGGGTCTTGAGCTGTACTGGCAGAGTTGACAGGTGGTTGCCTGCACGCCGTCTGTGGCGCATTCATCAAACAGAGCAGAGCGAAACAAAGAAAGGACCAGGCTTTTCCCAGGCACCCCTCTGAAATCCCCTCCATTTTGGAAAGAGCTGATTAAAACCCTAGGTTTTACTTCAGTTCGTACCTTGCTATTGGTTCTGTGAACACTGCATTATTTCAAGTATCTCGTGCAGGAATTAGCACAGTAGTTGCAGAAAAGCCCTTCCTTCTGCAAGAGAAATCTGCAATTCCGATATAAAAGTTCTGTAATTAGGAATCAAAGTTAACAATTCTGTTTCCTGATTTAATTGTCCTTGTGGTCCATCACCACTCACTATCTGCAACCAGAAGATATGAGCTTGTTATCTGTGATACAGACTTTATAAGTGGATCTTATCCTTGTTTTGCACATGTACCTACTGTATTTTGGGGTAGCCTCTGTAACTTGTTGGGTTCTTATGGACTTTTTATACTGCATATCAGCCTGGACATTGTCTTAAATTATTTCATCTGCTAGGGAAAATTATGGGTAAATTATAGGGCAGTGAAGTTGCCAGTGCTCGGAGGCTATGCTTTTGTGTGTCTTTGTCAGCTGCCTGGTTCCTGTGTTACAAGTCAAAAAGCTGATGGTTATGTGAGAGAATACTGCCCTCCTTTCTGATTTTTATTTTGTTTCCTTTTAATTTCATCTTCACAGAAACTGGCAATTATACCTGTGAATTCTGTGGCAAGCAGTACAAATACTACACTCCCTACCAAGAACATGTGGCACTGCATGCACCTATTAGTGAGTATCCTCATGGAGATCTATTTTGTTATGTACTGTGGTTTAGAGTGGTTGGTGATGAACACGAGAGTTGCAGTAGAGATTGTCCTTCCTATGGATCCTTCCACTGGACTCTGTGGGATTGCAGCTGGCGGGCAGCAGATGACATGCTGAGAGGGCTTTATAACGCTAAGTTGGAATCTCCTCTTAGAGGGGCACTGGTAGTGTTAGCCAGATCCGTAAAGTCACTGAATTTTTAACAAAATCCATGTGATTCTTCATGTGTTCCCTGGAGATTTGCTGTTTGATTTTGTTGTTTATCTAGAAGTTCTAGTACCTGAAGTGCGCTTAATAAACCAATGCACAAACTTTTCTAGATTCCCCTATATGAGTTCCCCTATATAATGATTCCCCTATATACATGCTAGAGGAGAAGCATCTTTCTTAACAAGCTTCTAAGAAACTGTTGCAGACAGTGAGTTCAAACTGGTTTTCAAAATCATGTAAATTACTGTGGCAGCTTGCTATTAAATCACGGGCAATGAAATATTTATTTCAGGGAGCTCGGGAAAAGGCAGTTCTCAGCACACTACACGACACTACGATCTGCACTCTGGAGGGATACTACAATCTGCACTCCTCAGACAAAGGGGAGGTTATAATAAGCAATTAAGTGTAATTCAGTGCAAAATTCTAGTAAAATATTCGAGAGAAGTCTTTGCTACATGCTGGTTTCAGATGCTTTAAAAGTAAGCAGAGAAGTTATTTGCAGCTGAACTTCATGCTTCTTTCATAGCCTCACTGTGCTGCATTGCGATTTTCATAGTAGGAGGAAGCATGAGTGCTCTTTGCTGGTTCGTGTCTGTCCGGCTGCCAGGGCTGTGGCTCATGAAGAGGACGGATTAGTTTAGTGGCCTTCTGCAGCTGCACAGCCAGCAGAGGGAGCACGTGCTCCTCCCTCACCAAATTCAGCTTTAATTAGGTTTTATTATAATAAGGCAGCTTGGGTTCCACAAATAAAGTAGGAACATAGTCCACCAGACCATCGCTTTTAAGGTAACCAGGTCTTGGTGGTTCCTGACAGCTCCCATGCAGGTTCTCTGGAGGATGGAGGTGGACTGGGAGGATGGAGGAAGGCTCGGGGCACAGGTTACCTTTGTGACTGCCATCAGATTTAATCTTGCTATCTCCCATCTATCCAAGGGAACTGACTTGCCTGTGACCACACATGTTGCAGTCATTCCTAAACACCCTTGCACCCTCAAACTCCACTTCTCAATGTAGACAGTGTTCTTAATGCAGACGTTTGCAGGTCTTGAGAAAACCTGGTGGTGGTGATCAGCAGTAGGTTGATCTCCTAGTAAAGATGGACCCTCAAACACCAAGGCTCTGGTGGCTGTAGTCCAACCATGTGCAGATAATGAAGGAGACTTAACAGTTGTATAGCTAAGGAGCAGTGTGTTGTGAGGACCAACCATGTAATCTGTGCTCAACAACAACAGATTCGTATCTTCCCAGCATGTCTCATTTCAAGAGGATTTATTACTGAGGATATATCTGTCCACCCTCCCAAGTACCTGCAGTAGGTTGCAGCTGCTGGTTTCAGCCCTGGTTATCCAGCATTAAAAAAAAAGCACAGCTAAGTCTTCTGTGAGAGTTACTTGCCTGAAGATACTCCAATGGGTCTGACTGCAGACATAGATGGGCCATGCAGACACTGCCCTCCTTTCTGTGCAGAGTAGAGTGACTCATCTGTGCAGCATGAGGCTAAGGGCTCGTGCTGTGACCCTGATGCCCACTTTTTGGGTGCTGGAGGCCTGTGTTTAGGGATCTCTGAGACTATTATGCGCGGAAGGCAGAAAGCCATTTCACTGGGTAAGGGAAAGCTGCTGAGTTAAAACCTGGGCCCTAAAGAGAGGTTAGGAGTCAGGACCTCCCCTTATCTTGAGCAAGGATCTGTCGTGTAGGAAGCTGTGGATTCTCCAGTAGCCATCAATTTCGTAGGAGGAAGAGGCACGTTGTTGAAGACTGGGGTAGATGCTGTTCTTGCACCATGGGTTCTGAATTGCCATTGCTAAAGAGAAGGGCCTCCACTGCAGGCCAGAGCCAGCAGTCCCTGAGAGAGCACGTGCAGAGGACTTCCAGGCCTTTCTTCAGCTGTGAAGATGCTGCAACTCTGGAGAGTATTTTCATAAGCTTTAACCATCTCCTCCATAGACAGTTTTCCCATTTGTGCTCTCCTAGTTGCCATGACCAGTCAGGTTTGTGATTTACAGTGACAAATCACTAACCCAGGTGGCATAAGGGAGAGGGTTTGGTTAGTGCCCAAGACAAGCTGGCCAGAACATGCTTGGCTTACTATAGCTCATACTCTGCTCTTCCTGTAACCCAAGGTCCCACAAAAGCTGTAAAAAAAACAGCTTTTGATGCTGTGCAAAACAGACTTTTCTCATCCCCTAAGAAAGGGATGAAATAAAGCTAAGACTGGTTTGACCCTGGCCTTGTTCTTGTTATCATGAGACAAAAGCTGTCATGTTAGCCTTAGTGGGAGCAGGTAAGGAAGGAGCTTCACCAATTATTATTACCCATCCAGCTTTCTGAGTCTCTCTGCTCAAGTCCATGCTTCCCTCTCAAAGTCTGTCTTTCTGGTTTTCTGCAAAAATGAATTAAAATTATTGAATGGGAGTAAAAAAGAACTACTATTTTGCAAGGTTCATTGGACCTTCCAGGATAATTTTTGGTCATTATTGTGATCAGCTCCGGCTCCCCGTCCCTTAGGGAGCAGTCAGTCCTCGCTACACCCTGACACAGGAGAAGCTCGAGGAAGTTCACCAAGCCTGTCTGATCAGTTACTTTTTTATTGTGAAAGAAACAAAATAATAGCTTTCATCCAAAGTACTTCAAAACACATTTCCTGTATTTCTTAAAGGCAGCGGCCGTGGTGGCTTTTTCCATTAGCCAGCGGAATCCTTGTTGGTATCAGGTCTCATTTTGACTGTGAGTGCTGCCAAACTGAGAAGAGCACAGATCCCCATTCGAGTTGGATGATTTTTCTTTGCTTTCTCCACCTCAGGGAGTGAAATCTGTGATTGAGGATGTTTTTCCCTGCTTTCTGATTCCGTAGTGTCTTAGAAACAGGCCCCACTGGCAATATTTGTTTGTGTGTATGAAAAGGCACATTAAGTATTTAATAGATCTGAGCACAGATCTTTCCTATGGAAGCTCCTGTTAATACCAGAAGTTTTAGCTCAGTATATTGAATTTCAACCCATTGTTAAGTCATCTCTTTTTGTTATATTCATGATAGGTAGTTCTTTTTCCATAAATAGATAAATAAATCTTTCCAGACATGATGGTATAAATCTGTCTGATCCATCCTGATGATTTTTTTCCAGCCATACTTCCCTACCTATTCCGACAAGATCTTTCTGAAAAAAAAAACTTAATATTCAAATTAACCAGACCTTTTACTTGGAATAAGCTAGGTCATAAAATCTGATATCCACTGCGTAGCGTGTAGATTAATGCATCTCTTGGACATTGAAAGGTCTTATTAAAGCAAAAAAGTCAGAAGGAACTGCTCTGTTATCTGGACATTCCTGAATTATAGGTTATGAGTTTACCTTGATATAATTGCTCAAGTTGCAGTTGGACTAGGTAATCTCCAAAGGTCCCTTCCATCTTCATCCACTCTGTGATTCTGTGAGGTCTGCCTTTCAGAGAGGCATCCAATCTTGCTGTTAAGAGTGAGGGAAAATATACCAACTTGTTAGGTAGATAGTTAGATTTATGACCTTCCCTAAGTCAAAACTAAAAATACCCAGTTCCAGCTTGGAGGCATTGGCTCTTATTTATAACTTTTTCTGCTAGGTGAAAGAAATCCACACTCCCAAAGTTCTGCCTTTGGTAGAGGTGGAGCTACCATCAAGTCACTTCGTTGTGACCATTCTCCCAGCTAGGCACCTTGCCTTGCATTGAGTGCCTTGGGACTTCCACTGGAAGGTGTGGTGTTCTCGTCCTCTGTTTATCTTCTTGCCTTCTCCTTTGAATATTCTGTGTCTATTTACAGGCTTTTTGAATGACATGAACCGGCTAGACCCAGGGCGTGCAGGTTGCCTTCCTGTTCCTCTTTTGGGAGGGCCCTGTGTGCATACCCAAGGATGGTCGCTGTGTTTTTGCCTGCAGCGTTGCTCTGAGATCTTCTCTACAGCCATCACACCATGCACGGCAAACACTAAGTTGTGTCCTGCTGCCAGGAAGGAGTCTGCCATCTTTTACATATCATCTGTCTTTTTTAGCCCACCACATGCCGTTTTGTGCAGCCCTAACACAGTGCACACAGTTTTGCAAGTAGCTGTAGATTATTCAGTGTGACTAAATTCTGCACTTATTTTCCTAGTCTTGGGTTAGGGTGAACCCCAAAGAAGATTGGAGTTTCCTCCAGGTTACTGATTTTTGAAAGAGAGAATAAGGAATTGATCCTTCTCCAAAGCTGACAAACAACTAGATTTGCTCTATTGCCCTTCCTTATCTGGTTAATGAGCCTTAACTGGGACAAATCTGAGATGCATTCTGAGAAAGTTTAAGAAATTCCACAACAACCACTACGGGATCATCTGTCCATATTGCTGTCTCCAGTTGTACTGTCTGGTTGCAGATTTTAAGGTTTTTGTAACCTTTCAGCAACTCTTTTTTTTTTCAACTCAACTCAACTTTTTTTTTTTTTTTTTTTTTGCCAAAATAGCTTGAACTTGGCCTTTTTCTCAGACTGAGGCATTGAGTTTCACAGTGGAGACTTATTTTCAAGGACAGAGGAGTTACATGATCATGTCTATATATGTTGCTTAGTCTTCAAAGAGAATTTACTATCTGGTAAGCTAAAGACTAAAACATTTTCTTCCATACATTTTTAGCAACCTCCAGACTAATAGGATTAATATTTTTTTCTTTTCATCCTGTCTTGCCTTGCTAGCTTGAACTTTGTTTTGGCCTAGTGTTGGATGGAATATCTTTGAACTTTATATCTGGAGAGGGATAGGAATAAAGCTGAGTCTTGCTCCTGCAAGTCTGAGGCCAAACAGTGAGTCTGTTTATGTCAGATAAAAGCCATTTTTGTTTTTGAATTATGGGAAAAAAGAAGTCATTTTTGGAGATCTTCATAGTGCTGAAATTTCACCCTTCAGATCTCACAGAGACAGTCCAGAGACAGTCTGGACTGCAGAGAATCTCTGATGACCTTGTTTGTGTCTGATGCTGTTGGCTGATTGCTACTTTTCTTAGTTGGTGTAGATGGGTAGTAAAACAGCAACTAGTGGGAAGAGACCTCTTGGGAAACTGGTCGTCATATATGCAGGAAATTATCTTACCTGGCTGCATATTTACTGTCAGTTTGGCAGCAACTGAAGGAAGATTATCCATGGGGATTGAAATGATGCCTAGGAAGCAAGAGTAAGCCTCCTACCCATTCAGCTGGCCAGAAACCAAGCAGAGAAGTATCTTCACTTAGACTGCAAGAAAACCTGCCATAGAAGGTTCTGTAGAAGTATACCAACATTTGCTAGAAGTAACATCTTGAATCTGTATAACAGATCGAACAAAACAAATACTTTGTTTGAGTCTCTCTTTGCAGGTTCCTTCGATTCTACCCATCACCACTCTCAGTTGCTGCCATTCACTGTTAGGGAAACATGAGAGCAGTTCAGTGGGAGGTCTAGAATGTCTCAGGATTTGCAGATGAGCAGTCCCAGTCCAGGTCACTTTTCTGCTCACCCGTTTCAGAGAGGTTTCTGGGCTGCTGCAGCAGCCTGTGATGGAGGATTGCTCAACGTGGATAGGTAGTTCTGAGTTAGACTCGTTAAGGTGAGCAGGTGCTGGTGTTATCCCTCCAGTTTTGGGCATTCCATAGGATCACTTGGACACAGAAGTTAACGGTAGTGAGCTTGGGCTGTGGGTTATGAGAACCTTGTTTCTTAGTGGATCTCTATGGCAGATGGTTGGAGTGGGACTTGTCTTCAGAAACTATATCCAAATTTCCATGAAAGAAGCCACTGAGGAAAGTAGGGGCTTATTAGGTTGCTCCTCCCCCCCTTTTTTGTTTGCATGTGTGTGTGTGTTATCTATTTTATTATGTTTATTTTTATTAATCCATTCAGCCTGGACAAAGGGCTGTCCTCCCAAAAAGTTTTCACATGATTTTGGCATTAAAAATTCCTGAATATTCACCCTGCACATTGCAGAGACCAAAATGTCTCCTTGTAGGTTGGGGTACATTCAAAGAGCGTATCACAGTAATACTCAGAATTTATCCATAACTTGCCAGCATTTTTCTGGAGGTGGGAGCCAAAAGACCTCTCCTGACCTGTGGGATGAGACCTCTCCCTCATACTTCCCTCCCATTACCAACAACCCTTTTTTCTTTATATTAGGTTAGAGAGACAAAAAATGTAGCTGGAAATCTCTAGGACATATATAAGGCTCAAGGATAAAAAGTTTAACTTTTTCCCCATTTAGAGCTCTTGAGTAGCACGTTAGAAACCTGCTTTCTAGGTTCAGACTTTACTGAAGTCAAACCAGAGCACAGAGGTGCAGGGAAACCCCAACCAACTAGGATTCCCAGATGGATGGGGTGATTTCTACTGGAAGAGAAGTGGGTTGGTCACGTGGCAGTTAAAGGTGTGGAACTAATAAGCTTTAGGAATCTGTCCCTTTGGGTGATGGGAAAACAATTTTGTTATATGGGATCAGCGGATCCACAGTCGCTGCAGGTCCCCGTGCAAGGGATTCGTGAGCATGGATGTTAGAAAGCAATCCTCCCAGAGGACACACGGTCTGGGAGCTGACTGACTGTCCAGGCACTAGTTCTGAGTGTTCATATCCAGAGTTCTCTCGATCTCCACTCTTCGTGGCAGTGAAGACACAGGCGAGCCAATCCAGCAAAAAAACACCGCCTTCAATAAACCGATGTTCCACCCTCCTGCACCGCACCCCCTCCGGTGTCCCACCGGCATCCCAATCCCAGATGTTCCGCGCTCCAAATTCTGGATCCCCAGGAAGCAAGGCCATCACAGGTACCAATTGCCTTTCTACCATCAACTTTCTTAACTGCTTAGTGTCCAATCCTGCCCTGGGATGGCTTTTTGACCCTTCCTGGACTCGGTCTGCTCCATCCATGACTGTCCCAGAAAAACTATTCCCAGAAGCAGTTGAGGGGATTATATCCTTTGGCAAAGTACAAATCAAAATTTAGATCAGCAGTAGGTTTTTAAAACCTTTTTCCAGTGGCAAGTGTTTTTTAAGGATCATACTAATGACAAGGCACAAAAGACCCTGTTTCAAATCCTGGTGTCACAGAGGAGAGCTCGCTGCCCAAGACTGGCTTAGTGGCTTGTCAACTACGGGGCTTTTTGGTTTTCTTTCAGTTTTGTTTGGCTTGTATTTCTCGCAAATGGTAATTTCAGAGGCAGGCCTGTGCCTGGGAAAAGTCAAATGGAATGAAGTGCAGGTGTTTGCACATTCCTCACAGGAACCACTGAGAGATAAGGTGGGCTCCAGGAGCAAAGTAAAGGGTGCAGGGCCATTACAGAGAGGTCAGAAGAGTCGGGTTGGAGTTGCTCCTCCCCATGTCCCCAGTCGCTCCTTCCAAACAAGATCAAGTATATAATTAAAAAAAATTAAAAAGAGCAGTGAAAAATAACTATTAACAAATGAGAGATGCACAGTTCATGTTACCACACAGCAGGGAAGTGTTCTCTTAAATCTGTGGATTTGGTAGATGTATATTCCATTTAATACAGAGGAAGGGCTAGTTAATGAGATACTATTTAAAAGCCCCTGAAATGTCTGGCATGGGCAGATGTGAGAAGCACCAGTGACTGTGGTGGAAGAGGCCACAGTACTCTGAACAAGGGTATTTTTTGTCATGCACATCTGCAGCTACCAGATATTACAGTGAATGACCTGTCTTCCTATGGCTTGTGGGTCCTGAAATTCCATACTGTTATTGCAGCTCTTAAATAATCATTTTACTTTATTATTACTAATTTGAAGGTCCATCCAGTTCTGCCAAGTTAAGAGTTCAAGCTGAGGAACCTTTTTCATTGTTTATCTGAACTTGTGACAGCTTCTTGCAGTTTCATGTCTCTTACACAAACAGAAAGAGCCTAACTAGGAGTCTTCCTGGGTCAGGGGCCAGATTCATCCGAGCAGTAACTGGGAGATGTTTGGGGTTTTTTGTAATGGGATGTTTTTTCCTACTTCTGTAATCAAAAACTATATCAATGCATTAAGTAAAAGTTAGACTTGTTCTCTCCCCATGTGAAGGAAGGAATCACTGTGGTGCTTGAGCCTGATAACACTGATCTCCAAGAAACTCTTTTTAATCCCAGTGTCCTACCATGTCTCCAGGATTTGAACCCGGGTCTCTTGGAGGTGGGAAGGAAAGGATAGTTTAATCCCTTTTGCCGTGGCCTCCTCTTCCCACTGTGCCATCTGTTTTGCCAGTTGCTTAAGGCCTCTCATTGCTATTACTTATCTGTGAAAAGAGATGGATGAGATAATGTCTCCCGGTCCTTTTCAGCCCTGTTTTATGTGATTCTGCTTAACTCCTGAATTGATTATCAAGCTCTTATGTTTTCCTGTGTTTTGGGTAGAATTAGGAATGTAGCAGTCGGAGAATTTCAGGAGCCTCTTCAACGCTGGGAGGATTTGACCAGTCAGTGGATATTCCCATTAAGGACTGACTGGGTTGCATTCATGGGCTGGGAGCTTCATGCAACTTAGGTCTCTTCCAGCCAAAGTGAGATATAAGACCCTGTATCTAAGCTGTGCTTCACTGCAAGGAGGTCATGAGGCTGCACGTACCTGGAACCTCTTTATGAATGTCAAGACAGAGCTTCTGACTGCTTGGCAGTTCACAGAATTAAAATAATGATCTGAAACGGATCTTCAGAGGAGTTTTATGTCACTGACACTCATGCATTAGGATTTCTCTCTCCGAACTCCCTTGCTATGCAGTTTGCACATTGCTGAACCTGGTAGAGCCGTGCTGGCGCGGCGCAGAGGAGTGGGACCTGCCCGCCGGGCCTTGGGCAGCCACAAGATAGCGAGGAAAACATGACGGGCCAAGGGCTGCGTTAGCCCTTCTCGAAGTTGTGGGCAGACTTCCAGGCCACTGGTGACTTCTCCCCTTGAGGTCTTCAGGGAAGATGTTTGGGAAGGGGA